AATATTCCTTCTTACAGTCTCTTGTTATTCCCTAATACTCTGTAGTAATGGTCAGCACCTCTCTTTCTGGAGACAGATTGCTTGGGTTTATATGCTAGTATCTTATTCCTCAGTCATGTATCAGAGATGGTGAGGATGACACAGGAAGGACAGAGTTAAGATCCATTACTCATAGGGTCTCTATGAGCCATACTCGACTTAAAGCCCCCTAACAACAATTCCTCAATTTGCTGTATCATCTTGATCAAGATACTTATTCTGTGCCTCAGTTTCATTATATGTAAAATGTAGATGATATGAAAGCTTTTTTATCTGCCCATTATGAGAATCAAATAAATTATATTAAATACCTGTTATATAATATATAATAACTGCTTTATAAATATTAGCTGTTAGTTCATATTTCATTTTTCCACTTATGCCACAATAAGTGAAAATATGTGCCAACTGTCTAACCTTTGAAAATACTCCTTAGCTTAGCTTGTTAGGAGCAGACAGTCTTTATTTTAAGAATGATATAGAAATATGTGCATAATTAGAAGTTTTTCTCTCTTACTTTATAATCTGTTGTCTTAGGTTGTTCAGCACCTTGGCCCTGCAACTGATTTTTATAAGAAACTTGCTTTAGATTGCTCAGGACAGCAGACTGCAGTGGATCTGTTCCTTTTAAGTTCACAGTATTCTGACCTGGCTTCTCTAGGTAAGGACATAAGATTGTCTTTATGTGTTTGCATAAATATTTAAAAGATGATAAGCTAAGCTCTTCGGTTTTCAGTGTTTTGAGTAGTGTAGCATGTGAATTAAAAAATATCTATGAAAATCATTGTTGTGTTCTGTTGAGTCAGAAGCAACTATAACACGCCTTCTGGTGGGTTTTCAGAGGAGAGATTGCCCATCTTTCTCCTGCAGAGCCGCTGGTAAATTTGAATTGTGTACCTTAGTAGTTCCTTACCACTAAGCCACCAGACTACTCTGAAAATCTTTGGTAAATTATAAAACATTGTATTGTTGTGCAATGATGTGGAATCATTTCCAACTTTTGACAACTGCGTTCTATATAAAACAGCATTTTTTTTACTGTAATCTTAATGAAAGTAGATGTCCAGCCCTTTTCTTATTAGTGTTTCAGACTCATCATTTGATGGAGTTGAAACACTAATCTTCAGGTTGGAATTTAGTAGCAAATATAACAAACAGTTCTGTTACTATTCTGCTCAACAGTATATTGAATTATATAAATTATGATTTATGACTAATTCTTTTGCTTAAGCTCATCTATTCTTATTTGACCATTTAGATTTTCTTGTGATACAGATTTCTTCAGATTTCAAATATATATTACTGTATGAACAAGTAAAATATTACTGGGGCTTTTGCTAATGCTTTTTACACTTTCTCTTTAAAGCTTGTATCTCCAAGTATTCTGCAGGATGTATTTATTATTATCCATCTTTCCATTGTACTCACAATCCTTCACAAGCGGAAAAGTTACAAAAAGATTTAAAACGTTACCTCACAAGAAAAATTGGATTTGAAGCTGTTATGAGAATAAGGTGTACTAAAGGTATGAAATTATTTTTAAAATTGTGCTTTATGGTAATGTGTCAAAATTATGGTGATAAATTATTATATTCTTGTTCTGTGCCATCAAGTCACCTGTAACACATAGCAACCTGCTGTTTCCTGTGCCAATCTTACTGTCTCTGACACACCTACCCTCCCTTCCTAGTCACTGTATCAGTCCATCTCATTGAGGTTCTTCCTCTCTTGGGCTGTCCCTCCACCTTTCAAAGCATGATGTCCCTCTCCAAAGACTGGTCCTGCCTTGCAACATGTCCAAAGTATGTAAGACAAGCTTCATAATCCTTGCCTCCAAGGAGCAACCTAGTCTCACCCTCTCTAGGATGTACCTGTTTGTTCTCCTAACAGTCCATGGTATATTCAGTACTCTTCTCCAGCACCACAGCTCAAAGGCATCAATTCTCCTATCATCCCTAGTCATTGTCCAGCTCTTTGATGCATGGCAAGTAATTGCAAAGACTATGGTATGAATCAGGCGCACCTTAGTCTCCAGAATGGCATCATTGCTTTTCAGTACTCTGGAGAGGTCTCTGACAGCAGACTTTCCCAATACAATTCGTCTTTTCATTTCCTGGCTGCTGGTACCAAGAGTGTTGATTGTGGAGCCAAGCAAACAAAAAGCTGTTAATTATTATAGATGATTTATTATTTGATCTAAGTAGTAAACTGCTGATTAAAGTATATGTATTTTGTTATTATTTTTTGCCCGTATTTTGTTTGATGTAACTAGAATAAGTGGAGAAAGTAATGATTTATTTTATTCAAGGAAAAACCTAAAAGAGAGCCTGTATTGGAATTGATTTTAAGATGAAAATTAAGAACATAGGAACAAAATTATCAAATCTTCGCCTTTGTAATGATTTTAAATACTCTTCAGTTTACATTTCCTTGATTTTTATATGCTTGTTTGCTTGAGGGACTTTGATCCCTTATTTTAAATATAAAATTAATTATGTAAGTCAAACTCAGTGCCATGAAATTGAAACCAGCTCAGAGCTGACCTTCCATTGTGTTTCTGAGGCTATAAATCACAAGGGAATTGTCCTTTAAAGCTACTGGTGAGTTTGAACTGCCAGAGAGGTGTGATATTTGTGTTGGTAGCCCAGCTCCTTACAGATTAGGCTACATTCATTTGATTTTATATGCTTGTTCATTGTCTTGACTTCAAACGGTGTATGAGAAAATGTTAGTTAATAATAACAAGTTACATAGGCAGTCCTACTTTTCTATAACTTGCACTGGTTTTTTAATTAGTCGTTGAGAGCTTTAGTCTGTACTCCAGCTCTCCTGCCCTACTTGTCTTATTCAAATTCTTTTATATTTATTTTCTGTTTCCTAGGTCTTTCAATGCATACTTTTCATGGAAACCTTTTTGTTCGTTCTACTGATCTGTTGTCCCTGGCCAACATCAATCCTGATGCAGGATTTGCAGTGCAGCTGTCAATTGAAGAAAGTTTGACAGATACTTCTTTAGTGTGCTTTCAGACAGCCCTATTATATACATCAAGTAAAGGTAATAATACCACAATTTTAAAAGAATGGACAGTTGATGACTATCAATAAATATAAATGAATTTTTTTAAAAGTGTAAAATAGAAGATATTATTAACAGAAATTCAGTATAGCCTGCAGCAGCAATTCCCTCCTTTCACATGCTGTTTATTAGGAATAGGGAGAAAGAATTAACATGCGTTGGGAAGTAATGGAATTTGCACTGTTGCTGTTAGGTACCATTGAGTTGAGTACAATTCATCGTGACCCTGTGAATAATTCTGAATCCTGTCTTATTTTCTGTCACCCTCATCACGTCCGACAACACTTCGGTCCTTTGCTGCATTCACTGTGTCAGTTCATCTTTCGTTAGGCAAAATATGTGCTTGGGGTTTTGTTTGTTTGTTATCAAACTAGTGTCTTTGTCTCATGGAAATTTTGTGTTCCCAAGAGAATTTGTTTCTAGTCAAAATCTAGTCGTATATCCAGCTTTGCCATTCTTTGCATTGTGTTTTGCTTGTAAAAGGAAAAATTCTACAAAATAGTCAAAGCCTATCTTTACTGTTTTTCATATAAGTATTGGATATAATTTGGAATGAATGAAATAACTGGTCTCAATGTAATATTCAGCTAGATACCAGATAATCTGTAGTTTATTGCCTACCTTCAAATTTAATGTTTTCCAGAGGGTCATCCCTGACTCATGGGTAAACATATAACTATGTCACATAGGATTTTCAGTTACAGACTTTTCAGAAGTCCATCTTCCAAAATGACCCTGAGTAGACTTGAACCTCCAACTTTTTTTTTTTAATCAACCAAATGCCTTAATCATTTGCATCACCTTATTTTCTTAGACCCTGGTAATTACAGTGTTTTCAGACTTGCTTTAGTGATTTAATGTAGCTAAAGTTTAATTAACTTTCGAGCTTTTTAAAATTCTCTCTTAGTCTAATAATGTTTTTTTGCAATTACATTTATTCATCATTTTGTTTAGGTGAGCGGAGGATTAGAGTACACACACTTTGTTTACCAGTGGTAAGTTCACTAGCAGATATATATGCAGGAGTGGATGTACAAGCCGCAGTCTGCCTTCTAGCAAATATGGGTGAGTAAAAATGAGGGAGCAGGTCAACAGAGTTTTCTGTCCTAAAAACTATGAGCATATTTTTTCACTCTCAAAATTCTTTCTTTTAAAAGTATTTGATTTACATTTTCATTTACTACAGTGTGAATTGGGAAGCTCTTCTCTTCTAATTATTTTGTTTTAAATATCTTTTGGGAATTTTTAATTACTAAAAACTGATAATACCAAATGTTCTTCAACTGGTAAATGTATGGAGAAACTATGATATAATGCAACTAATAAATGCAAAAATGAACTACTGATCCATAAACAAACGAAACGAGAAAATTAGAAGGATAGCGAATAGATAACTCATGGGCCAGAGTTGGTGTCAGTCAGGAAAGGAAGAGTATTAATTCAAGAGGGAAGCATAGGAGGATTTGTTGAGGGGTGGGGAGGAAATAACGGAATTCTTTTCATCTTATGATGATTACATGACTATGCATTCAACATAAAGTGATCCTAGAACTGTACATCAAAAAGTGAATTTCATTATGCATAAGTTTAAAAAAATCCTTGGGAAATTAGCATTGTATTATTGAATTTTTTTAATTTTTCATAAATTTACTGGTTAGTTTGATTTATATATGAAATGAGCTTTGCTATTTTCTGCGTAATCCTAAATAAAAACAGTTGATGTTACTCCTGTCATAAAAAGTAGCCTTTACTAAGGGATCTCAATTTTAAGAATCATTCTATATGTATATTTCAGATTAGGTAATCACACCATAACTGATAATTTTTTCAGTTTTGTTTTATTTTTTTCAATAATTGGGACATATTTTTAGATTACCTCTATATGTTTGTAAAATATGTACTGTAAAAAAAAAAATATGTACTGATAGCTGATTTAACGTTCCATTGTCTGAAACAAAGCATTCCATGTTCAGTTTGCTATCTTTTTGTTTGTTTGTTTGTTTGTTGGCCTGGAAATTCTTTGATAGAGATGTTCTCGATCTCACAAGGGAGATCTCCAAGTGAGGAATTTACATTAGTTTTGCAGAAACAAGTGATCATTTATTCCTGTGGCTTTCATTTGAGTAATGGAAACACCCTCAAGGACTTTCTCAGAAGAAATGGATTTTATGCATTACCCAGTGTTAATAATGGTTCCATGTTTTTATACTTAAGAGATTTAAAAAGGAAAAAAGTCCAAAAGAATGTAGATTTATTCTGATTATTCAGCTTGTTCAATCAGATCTAATCAAGAAATATAATCAGCAGACATTTAAAATGAGAGGTGTCTGTTTCTGCCAATCTATCTCAATGTTTGTTAGATTTTTTTTTTTAAATTTTAAATACAAGAACATTTTTTTCTTCCTGACAGCATTCATTGGAATCTGATATTTAAATAGCTTGTCTTTTTTGTCGGTTATAGCTGTGGATCGATCTATTTCATCAAGTCTATCAGATGCAAGAGATGCCTTAGTGAATGCAGTGGTGGATTCCTTATCTGCGTATGGCTCAACTCTCTCAAACTTGCAGCACACTGTGTTGATAGCACCTAGTTCCCTCAGATTGTTTCCTCTCTATGTTTTGGCTCTTCTCAAACAGGTAGCGCTATATACATTCTATTTAATAAAGTTTTTCTTTTAATTGTCACATACAGGAAATTAAGTACAGATTTAAAAAAAAAAACCTAAGGTTGGACTGGGTAACATTTAAGGAGTTGTGAAGAATAGGTATGCATTAGTGGAAAGCAAAGGGGTACAAATATGTGATAACTCTTAAGAAATTTTAATGCGTCTTTTACTAGGTACGAGCAGTTTGAATAATGCTGTGGTCACCATATATTTTTTTTTTTAGCTTCTAGCTATTTTTTTAAACAGATTTATAAGCCCTGCCTCTGCAGCTTAGTAAGTGCTTTTTGAAAGGAAATCTGAGGAAAAGCGCTAATATTTATTGCTCATCTTTCACTTTGTCTATAGGTGTTTTATAAATCTCATCAATTCTTACAACAACTTAATATTTTCCTTGTCTGTTGATGACATGTAGCTCAGAGAAGCCAAGTAACTTACTCAATGTATATATTAAACTATAAAAAAAACTATAAAAAAAAAACTATTGAACTATAAAAAAAAAGTTTGAGTCCAGACCACAGATTTGAAAGCTGTGCTTTTCTCATGATGGATGGTATATGTTTGTTTAAATACTTGTGCATTGTATTTACATTTTACTTGAAAAACTTATTTTTCCTTATAGAAAGCATTTAGAACTGGTACAAGTACCCGCCTTGATGATCGTGTGTATGCCATGTGCCAGATAAAGTCCCAGCCACTTGTTCATCTAATGAAA